AGACCACCGGCAAAAAAAAAAAAAAAAAAAAAAAAAAAAAAATCCATAGAGAATCCGAAGAGGGGGAAGGGGGGGTGAGGGTCTTCAATTTCTCACAAACAAAACCAAAAAAAAAAAAAAAAAAGCTTGCAGAGGATCTGCGTCTAAAGCGCTGAGTCTACGCTCAGTCCAGTTCCTCCTCCAACCGGCACATCACTACTCTGGAGCTGCAGCCAAGAACCAACACGCTCTCTGTCTCAGCTGCTGCCGCTCCAATAACGTCCACGCCCCCTTTTCCAAATCTTACATTTAAAAATAGTGAGCCAAATCCCTTTATTTTTCCTTTCCCCCCCCACCCCCCCTCTGGACTTGTTGCCCCGCCTCGTGGCTTCCCTCCGGGTCACCAGCTTCCCGACTCACTTGAACACTGAAGTTAGTTCGAAACACAAGAGTCTGGCAAAAAGGCAAACGCAGATCATTTCCTCTGCTGCTCTGTTTGACATTATTACTCCCCAAAGATGTGATTTCGTCCACTGAATGCACCACGCTCTTTCTCTTCTCTTGCTTGCTTGCTTGTGCGCACACACACACACACACACACACACTCTCTCACTCATTCAGCGTTTCCATGCTTTGGTTGGTCCACACGCATGAGCTCCCTCTGTGTTGGAATGGCAGCACTGCGGCCTCTAGAGCAGTTCAATGAAAAATTACCCGAATCCTTTGATTTTTTATTTTTTTTACGTCATTAACCACAAATATTTTATTGTGATTTTATTCGCGATTATACACAGCAGCGCATAATCGTGAAGGATAAATGATTTTCAGCTTTTACAATTAAACTGGAAAGTGTGGTGGAAACATATGCATGTTGCACCACTTTATGGAACCACCCCGTTTGCACCAGTCTATGTGCTGATATGTTTGCAAATTCTACTAAAGAAAATAGCTCATTCTCAGTAAGACTGAGCCGTTCACAGAGAAACTGTGATTACAAACATTTGTTATTCCACAATATTCGGCAGATTTGTTGCTTCACCTCAGGATTATCAGTCCCATCGAGCCTCCCTCCTTTGAATACATCATGAGGGACAAACACGGTCTCTCTCATCCACTGGCAAAATGAACGTCTGAACATTTTCTGTTCTGATTATGCAGCTGTGTTATAGAATCCAAATCCCATTAAACTCCTGCACCTATAGATCCCCTCTATATTAGCATTAGAAAAGTTAAGCAGTCAAACTGGGGAGAAACATACAGGGTGAGACCTAAGGGCATACCATTCCTTAAATAAGATCTGTCTGTCCAAAGGTATGTCATGCCGGTCGGTGCTGATGCATGCTCCATCAAATGTGAGCTGACAGCTTGTTAGGGGTCAGTTTGATACAATCACCGTCTTCGCTCTAAGCTGGAAGTGATTTGTCTCATGCCGTTATGACATGTGGCAGGACTAGAGAGCTAACACGGTCAGTTTTAAAAAGGGCGAAGGGAGCAGCATCGCCGTTTCTTTGGAGGGGGGAAAAACAACATAAGAAATAAGCCAGAAACACTTGTCTGAGGCTGAGAGGTAAGTGGCAGTTTAGATCTTCATCCTACTGTTGATCCAAGACACTAGTGAGTTGGCATTTCCTGAGGTTTATCCAGCTGTTTGGTGTCAGTATAATTACACCAAAATATTCTCTGTTGCTTGTCTTCCTGAGTAGTCTGATCTAGTTTACTGACAAAAGCACAAGAGCTCAAAGATGTCCAGGGCCTAAAACGTCAAATTAAGAGTTTACTGATGCAGTGTCTTGAAAAAGTATCCATACCTCTTCAACTTATGTCATGCTACAGCTACCAACATGTAGCTTGTACATAGAGTCACAGAACGTTGTGCATAATTGCCAAATATAAGAAAAATTGTACCTGTTTAATACAAAGAAACATCTGACAAGTGTAAGTATTCGGAATTAATCTGATACCCTCAAAATAAATTCCAGTTTAAGCATTTCCTTCACAAATGGTTAATGATTAACTAAGATTAACTTTAATCTTAGTATAAATTCAGGTGTTCTGTGAAGGCCTGCAAGGATATTGGAGAAGAGCAGTTCAATGACATGAACAACGAGAAAGACACCGCACAACCGAAATACAAAGTTGTGTAGAAGTTAAAAAAAAAAAAGATAAGGCTATGAAGATATTTTACAAGCTTTCAACATGGCAGAGCACTGTTTAATACATCATTTAAAAATAGTGTGGCGCAACTGCAGACCTACCAAGATAGGAGAAACCACCAAAGATCCAAAGATTGCCCCGGTGAAGCTGCAGAGAGCTACAGCTCAGGTTTGGCTGTATGGATAACACACTCCGCAAATCTGGAGTTTATGGAAGAGAGTTAATGCACCAACTATAAACAAATCTGAAAATCCCAATCAGCAAATCAGGAATGTTTCAAAATTCTCTAGGTTGAAGGTCAATTAAAAAAAAAAAAAGAAAAAAAAAAGCAATAATGTAAATTGGAAAAAGAGCAATGTGGTCAAATGCTTCAGTACTTTTTCTGGAATATGGATACCGATTCCTCCTGTCAAGTCAAGAGCTCGACTAACCAGCTTGCGCCCACATCGTTCAAAGTCATAATCCCCATCGACATGGGGGATGGACCACTGCACATGCTGCGCTTGCTAATTTTGCCGTCCAGATGCTGTCTTTTTCAACGCAGGCCTTGCCAAACCCACATTCTCAATGTGTTACAACAGCATGGGTGGCATTCTGCAGTAAAACACTCAGCGTTAAAATTACCTATCAACAGTCCAGAGCTGCCAATCACAAACATGTGGCACATTATAAAGTAATAAACATGCCAGCTGCTAATATCTGTAATCCTATCTGAGGGGAATGTGACACATTTTGCAGAACATTTGAGTTCAGAGTGATTAGAGGTATGAACTAAAATGTAAAGCAAACCGGTTAATAAATAATATACACCCTCTGTTGCCGTGGGTGACCAAATGCAACAGAAACGGCAAATAAATTAAAAATAAAAGATTAGACTTCCCAACTTTGCACTATTTTAGTAAAAGAAGTGGTTTAATCGTTTTCACATTCTCGCATTTTATATATGACACACTTCACGTATATCCCAGTGGAAACAGAATATGAGCACAGATTGACAGATGGAACTGGGAGAGCGCTGCGCTCTGCAGTATATAGACTCAGAGTGCCAGTACTCCACCCCGCTGTCCTGGACCATGGTGAGCCACCACCAGTCATTGCAACAGCGACAACGTCACACACATTCATACAATAATGTAAAACAGAGTGCAAAATTGAAACAAAAAGTAGTGCCAGAGTAAGAAAAAAGTAAATTATAAATCAACAACTATGTAAAGATCAACAGATCCAATGTTTAGAAATTGTTTTTAACACAATCTCTTTGTCACAAGTTTTACTACTGTGACAGGTGCTGAACATTTCATTTTTGTTTTTTCTTTGACTACTTAAAAAAAACAACAACAACAAAAAAATCATAAGGCTTCTTATCACAATTTCAACAACTGGCTGCCAGTGTATCTTTGTAGCTTTGTACCATCTCACTGGTTTGCAGCCCGTCTGTGGGCATATTCTGTGTTTTTTTCTGCAACCAGAGAGATGCTGCAACATCAATAACCACTCAGTAATCATCTCTTAATATACAGAGCAGGACTATGGGCAAACATGTTGTGGTCATAGTGAGGTAATGGTTTTTATAGGCTGCTTTGTCTGAGATGATTGAAACGTTCAGCAGAGCGAGGGGGAAAACGTCCAGTAGGTAAACTGAAAGAGGTAGAGGAAGATGATGGGCCACAAGGAAGACATCAGCTTTGTCTATGCACATAGTTGACACCTTGTGCATCTGCCTTTGTGCTGCTTGACAGGAAAAACTTGAAGACCATAAGGTACAGTTCTCTGTTGGGTGAATTTTTACGAGTTTCTCTGGCTTCTGGTGTGGAGGGTGAGTCATTCCAGACCTCAATTTTTAAATCCTTTGAACCAGAGAATGACTTTTGTCCACCTAAATGTAGAAGCAGTATGGAGGTCAAAAATGTGAGATCTCAGCCGAAGCTTTCAGGGGTTGCTTTTCTTCCAGAATAAGATAGATATTCTTAGTCCTCTGCTGGCAGTTCAATAAAAAAATATGGAAAAAAAAAAATATTGTCTCCTGTCCTGAAATTCATACAGTGAAACATACGAATTGCTTTTCAAACTTATTTAAATGAAATGAAATGAAATGAAATTTTATTCGAACATGATACAAATACAAATATAAAAATAAAATAGTGCACAGTAACAAGAAGTGCATAAAAAAGAAGAGAAAATAAAGATTTTTTTATTTCAGTTAACATATCATGCTCAAAAAATGAAGTCAGACAAGATATTAATATTTTAACATGTTATACTGTTGTTTTGTTTCACTATCTAAGCATTAATATGTTTTTTCACAGCCAATTCTCTTTGATTTTTTTTTTCTTCTTTATAATTTAAGGACTGCAAAAAACACAATTCCTCTAGCTCACATTTATTTGGCCCAGATAAAGGATTGGAATCACTTCAGAATTAATTTGCACTGAATGTTCCATAACAATTAAGATTTTATTTGTGTAGCACATCTAAAGACAATGAAACTTGACCAAATTAGTGCTTTACAACTTAGATAAATGCTAAGCGAAATAAAGCACAAAACAGGAAAAAAAGGGAAGTAATTTACATTCAGATAGAATTACCATAATAAAACTATTGAAACTCTCATACTCTCTAAAGTCCAAAGAAAAGTAGTTCTTCAGCAGACATTTGAACAATTCTATACTTTAGGAATATAGAAAATCAATATTCCATAATTTCCAGGCATATAGAGGCACAATATTCCATCTTTTTCATGATTCCATGATCTATTTATCCCATCGTACTTTAAAGTTTGGTTTAACATTGCTATTGTAATTTTGCTTCACATACTATACAAAGTTTGTTGGTGGTAGCATTATGTTGATTTCTTGTGTTGCTTTGTATTATTTCTAAGTGGTTCTCTATGGTTCTACTGTTGATGTCTGAACTTTACTCAAAACTATAAAAGTCATTGTTGCACCACATTTTTGAAAAAATATTCAGTTTGGACATAACAGAATGAAATCAATGCAAACATTGTCTTTTTTCTTTGTTGAGAAACAATAAACATATATTTTTAGCCTCTTTAGGACTGGACACCTTTAAAATGCTGTTCTGGTTTAAATCAGGTGAGGAAAAAGCCAAACTTCATACACTCATGCAATTAAAAACATCTGGTAGGGCTAGAGCCTATAGGGTGCAGAGGTGAAGCAAGGAAGTCATGTCCAGCTGCCATTCCACTTCTGGAACCACACTATCCATCTAAATATCTCCAAATCTCACATGGAGGAAGAATTTCCAAACATGTCAGCTGCACCTGCCAATCACAAAATGTTAGCAAAAGAAACATGCCAGTCGTCCGTGTTAGCATTCTCACTCAAGTGTTAAAAATGATACCATCAATCAAACACGTCTTTGACCTGCTGCTGGAGGTAGCCTCTTAAGTTCTTCTGGGGTTTCACTGCAGCTTGTGATGGACAGATCTCAGACACCTGAGGTGATTTCTGTGAGTGGAGTAAAGCAAGAGGAGGAAGTGCAATTGTTTTTTTTTTTTCAGATCAACATCACCTTCTTCTTCAACATGTGGTGTTATTAAAACTAAAGATAATTTGAAGCAAGGAAAATGAAAAAGGATAAAAGAATATATAAAGGTTGCTGAGTTTTAGAATTGTTCTTTATTCGCAATGAAAAAAATCTTTGGCATCCTGTTTTATTCTCTTGATTGTAAATCCGGGGTACACATTTATAGTTGCACGCCTCTCCCAGAGAGTGAAATGAAAGGCGCCTAAAAGAGGAGGAAGTTGGTGCAGAGCAAGTGTAGATACCCACGGCAATAAAGCACTGCTAATTAAAATTGCTCTTGTTGCAAATGAGCAGTTAAAATTAATTATGTTTTGTGCAAAAAAAAAAAAAAAAAAAAAACACTCACAACACAAGCTAATGAGCTGGAAACATTTTTTGGCATGCAGAAAAAGAAACCTCTTTCACAACAGGTAATAGAATAATTTTCTACAAATGGGTCAAGACTGTTTTGAAACATTATGCGTCTCATGGAAAAATAGAAAAATAAGCCAAATCCCATCACACCACACACCATGCATTGTAAAACATGAATCTGCTCCTTTATGACATTAAGCCTCTATCGCGTGAAATAAGGCTTTATGAAAGAAAATAATCAGGCAGTGTGACTCTGGTTATTGCCTTGGGTCTTACTTTAATAAGAGCCGGGTTCGCAGTGAGAAAGGTGAATCTAAGATAATGTCGGTGCCTCAAAGGGGACAAACATGTCCCCATAATCAGCTTCAGTCAAGCATGGGCCACCATGTGACTGCACATTTAAAATTAAGTTTATATATATATATATATATATATATATATATATATATATATATATATATATATATATATATATATATATATATATGGTGTGATATAGAGGAGATTAGGCTGTCACTTTGGTGAAGCTTTAAGTAACCCCAGCTTTAATAGCGGTCTTAAGCTCTGCTGCATTTATACATATGTTAGTCATCTTTGCAAATAATCCCAAGATTCTATGGTTATGGGAAATCAGTAAACACAGTGGGCCAACACCAGCATGTTATATGGCTCACTAAAACATCACTGACTATGGAAACGTCACAATGAAAATCAAGGAACTTGGATTTTGTGCCTTCCTACTCTTACTCCAGACTGTGGTACGTCGACTTCTGAGTAAAATTAAAACTTACCCACAAACTGTCACTGTGGTAATTAATTTTGCATTGAATTTATGAAATAAAGTAAGCTTTTAGTGATTTATTGAAGTGTATCTGTATTTTGCCCACAGTCTAGCATCGTCTACACTTAGGCAACGGTTTGACGTGGCCAACTGTTTGATTACAAATTGCAGAAAAATAAATATTTCAAGAAAGCCTGCATAAATATTCAACAAGAACTTTCTGAAATGGAAGTCTGGCTGCTGCTCGTGAGCAACTTACACGAGGGATGCTGACTTTTGCACTTGTGCAAAACAACAAAGAATATTAAAAATAAGTCAATGTACAGCTGCTGGAAAAGATTTGAGCTTTAGTTGAAATAGGAGTGCAATGTATGCTCAGTCCCTGCCAATGTGTTGCATTTTTTTTGAAGCCAGGAACATTTGAAATCTCTACCATGTCACCTTTGGCTATATTAAAACCAACTAATGTATCCTTGATGCAGAAGTACTCACACACATAATCTACCTAAAGTGAAAGTGACGTGGTAGAATAAAGATCCAAATATTTTATCCAAACACAAAGTCTTTCGATGCCACTAATGTGTAAACAGGACAAAATGCAAGTGCAGTGTTTGGTCTACAGAGTCCTTATGTGATAAATTGGGAATGACACTCGGCTCTGACCCCTCTGGTCTCCACAGCTGACTTTATTTGCAGATACAATCATCTCGAGAGGTCAAGGTTTGGCTGGAAACAAGCATGACGATCTCTGACAGTTATCGATTAGAGATAAATTTCAGTGACCGACATCGCCTCATGATCCACAGCCAACCTTGGCGCATAATGGCACCCGGAGGAGTTGGGTTTAATCTCAGAATTTTCTGACCTCAGATTTCAGGATATCACTCAGGGAATTGCTTGAATGCGGATGGATTGTATTAAAACCCTGGGAAATGCAAGAGACTGCATCTCTTTATGTTTGGGACATTGCAAGCTACGAGAAAGGATTCCAGTTAGTGATAAATTAATCCTTGTCTGACTTTAAAGAATGTCTTATTACAGTCCCTTCAGCAATGCAGTGATGCAGCAAGCCTAATTAATAAAGATTAGTTATTTTCACCCTCACATAACCTTCTTTTCCTTCCTTAATTAGAATAAGGTGACTGAAAGTGAATTAATCATTATGCAGATATATGAAGAACTTATAAATGTAACAAGTAACTCATCAAAAATGATTGACGGCACAAAGGGGATGAAAAACTTTTTTTTTCCAACTCGGCCTACACAGAACAGTTTAACATAATTAACTCTTTTTTGATGGCGGAGCCCTCGTTGGATTGCAGACATCATGAATTTTAATAATAGAATATATTCAAGATTCTTTAAAAATGGTCTAAAAGGGGCAGTGGGGATTGGGCAAAAGGATTTCTTTCAAAGCTGCAGGTCTTCCCCTTCCTGGAGTCTGTACCACAGGAGAGCAGAAGACAAAGGAGCTATTAGCCACAGCTGCCACATAAATCCCGCTACAATAAATCAGATCTCAAATGGATGGGAAGATGATGAAAGATGGCTCCAAGCCCAGGTTTGTTAAAAATTAAAATTAATGAATAAGGCTCCCAGCATTATGTCTATTCTCCAGGTCCACAGATTTAGGAGTGGAAATATAAACTGATGGAACAAAAAGTACAGCATATCATGAATGTTGAAAATGCACATAATTTGAACAACCCCAACAAATCACCTCTACCTTTCCTTTTTACCATACAAACCGCAGTGATGACACAAGAGCAAGGAAGTGAAAAATGAGGCAAAAGTAAATGGGTTATCGAACACCGACTTTTGTTTCCGTATTTATCTCTGCAGTGTCGTCCATTTAGATGGAAAGCATAAAGTTCCACCAGTCATTATAAGGTACAGTGATGGCTGTGGATGATGATTCCATCATAAACTGAATGATTATCCATGACAAATCAATAATATCCAATACTGTGCTGTAGGGTTGGATGGCCCACTCATTTGTAAAGGTACACTGAGAACGTTTTTAGTTTATTATGAAATAAGAAGCAACGGGTTTACTTACATCTGAGCAGTACATCCTGGATATTTTTTTTTTAACCAAATTCCCATTTTAATAGTTTTTTTGTATGTTTCCTACTAAAGTCATATGGACAGTTTATTCCACACAGCAAAGTTTATGATCTTCAGTTTTTGTTCTGAGACGTTGTTAGAAAGGGGATCATCTTGTATCAAGTTGTCGAGGTCACAGCACACGCTGCTGTGACTGGAAGGTCATGTGGTTTCTTGTTTCATCATGGGCCGATGAAGGTCTGGAAGAAAAAAAAACCACCCGAAGGAAGTCGCTGGAGTAGCCTATATCATTTTCACTGTGTCTTTATGCATCTATGTATCCAAGAAACAAGACAGAATATTAAACATGTTGGAGTACAAGTTTCTAACTCAATTAGGCAGTACCTAGAAATGGTAAATGCATAAATACTAACTCTATACTTAGGTGTCTTATTATTTGGCAAATTTGTATTGATACAATTTGCTGGTTGTGATTTAGTGGTCTTAAAAATTGTCGTTGTAGTGATTAAGTAATATGATAAAAGTAATGTCTCACTGCTTGCATTGGGTGAAGAAAGAAAGTCTAATCAGGAGAAGCATAAAGGGGAGCAGACTCCCTGTGGCAGACGCCAGGTTGTTTTGCTCTCATGCATGGCATCCAAGGCTACTGTCATGGAAATGTAGTTCTCTTCAAACTTCTGGCACACGTCTCGCTGTCTTTTCCTTGAAGCCAGTTCCCACACCCCTGCTTCATTCTTGGCTTCCTCTGCTTTGCCTTTCATTCCTCTTGATTATTTGAGGAATTCCTTCAAGACTCTCTCCCTACATCTCTTCATTGCTCCTCCAGTCGCCCTCCTGTTACAAACCCTTGGATATATTCAACAGCGCATTACTCAGTCACCTGCCTGTTCATCGTCCAACACTGCTCTGATCTGCAACCTTCAACTCTGGGAAGAGACGACGGAGGGAACGATAACCCAGCTCCCGTTCACCACCACCTGTCATCCCCATACTCTATGGATAAGACCTGCTGACTTTAACAGTACGTTTATTTATTCTGTCTATTTATATTGCACCATTTCACAACAAATGTCTTGAGGCACGCTACGAAAAATAATTTTAATTCATTACTCCAACTAATCTTAGTTGTCAAACAAACGGCACAGTGAGCTCAGTTAGTTATTCAAAGTAGATTTTAAGAATTCCCTCTAAGGAAACCCAGCCGGTTGCATCGAGTCATTTACTTCTAATCTCAAACGGTTCCCGCTTAGCTCTCCTCCCCAGTGCCTCACCATAAAACTGTTGTGCGCATTGCACAACAGTTTCAATAAGCCTTTCAAACATGTCTTCTGTTTCTGTGATTGCTGACAGCGCAAGAATCTAACATTTAACAAATGCGAGACTGGGATATTTCGGCATTCATCTTTTTTGACGAACAGCTAGCAACAAGAAGGTCCTGGGTTCAAATCCTGGCCTTGGGTCTCTACATGGGGTTTGAATGTTTTGCCTGTGTATGTGTGGATTTTATCTGGACTCTCCTGGTTCCTCCCGCTGTTCAAAAACTTGACTGTTAGGGTAAGTGGTCTCTCTAAATTGCCCTATGGTGTGCGTGTGTGTATGCATGATTGTTTGTCTTATGTGTTTCTGTGTTTCCATGTGATGGACCAGTGACCTTTCCAGGCTGTACCCTGCTGGACCACTAATGACTGCTGGAGACAGTCACCAGCACCCACCATCCAC